GATTTATTAACCTGGAGCAACATTACAAAATATTTAAATGATTCAGCTGGACATTATGAGAGTATAAGTGTCATCAATCGCGCTAAAATCATTGACGATGCGTTTCATTTGATGATGAATCATCAGATCAATGTATCTGTATTTTGGAATCTGACGCAGTTTTTATCGCAAGAGACAAATTTTGTTGTGTGGTATCCAATGATTAAAGTGTTTGAATATATGTCGATTACGATTCCACTTTCCAAAGAAGAAATTAAGTTCACTGATATTATGGTAACCAATGAATGTTATATTTAACAAAGACTTAGTTACACCGAAAAGAATTTATAGTTGAAATCGGGTACCATTAGAAATTTTGGAAAAATTTATTAGAATTTTTGTTGAGATAATTGAGATAGCTGAAATTCTGGTTAATACAAATATTTCTGATAAGATCTATTAGAATTCTTATATGTTGTTACCAGAATAATATTATATTAATCATAATAATTATATCAATATGAGTTATCTCAACTAGATTTTAAATATAATATTTAATCAGAACCATACATCTGTTCCATCTTGAAATTCTCAAATTCATTTCGAACAGATTATTACAAAAAGAATGTAGAAAGAATCCCTTTTGAATTCATTACAATTAATTATCAGTGCTATCTATAATACCGTGCTTCATTACGATCAATGAAAATATAAAATTTGCGTCATTTAGGAAAAATTTAGAAAATTGTTGGAAAAGCCATTGAAAACACTAGGATATGAAGAACAGCTGATGGAAAATGACTTTACTAAATGTTTAAGACAAGAAATTGTGAAATGGGCATGTACCCTCCAATACGATGAGTGCGAACGATCAGCTCTTCGCAAATTAGAGCATCATCTCGAGAATCATGAAAGCAGGCCGTAATATTTTTTCTATAAGTGCAATTTCGTTTTGCATTCCAAATTATGACAAATTTTCCATTGACACATGTAATAAATAATATGTTTATATGTGTTTTTCTTTTTTTTGAATCTGCAGCCTTTTATCTTGGTGGAAACACTGGACATACTGCAATGGTTTACGAATAGCTAATTCTTCTGTATGGTCACACGTAACAGACTTCTTGTTAAGAAAGCATGACCGTAAATTGTTATCGTTCCTACCTTGTTCTGAATATGGTGCATTTACTTCTTTATCATTTTTCGAGCTATTCACAGAAGATGAAAGACATGATATTACGATTATTCGATTACAAATAGACGTTTTTCATTCAATTATTATGAAACATTCTAACACATACTCGAAAAGATACTCAGATTTTTAGAACTTAGAAAATCTATGTAAGTACATTTTTTGATAAATATACATTATAATTAACAATAATATATATTAATAAAATATAATAAAATATAAATTTATACCAATTAATTTTATTTAGACAAGTAAACATATTAACAGCGCTGGTTGATATCATTAATCATGTATATTCTTACAAAAATCTTAAGAAGGTAAATAAATTCAATTCAAATTCTTTAAATTTGTCAGTTTTCTTTTAGATTTCATCAGTGAATTAATTTTAATTTCGGTTTTGGCTATTTATCTTTTTCTAATTGTTAGAATTAAATAATGAGTAAACTATTGCGAGAATAAAGTTTAAACTTTTATTTGTGTAACCGTTTTGTAGATTATAATAATGACTGCATGATGCAATACGTTTCTGATTGTTACGCTTTGTTCTTTCCATTTATGGAATACGATATTTTATTGCATGTTGTTTTTGTCTGTATGAAATAATAATAAATTATCTAACAAATGTAATTAAATTTTAAAACAACATTTTCTTGTTTTAGGTTCAAGATTATGTAACAGGAATTAGCTACTTATACGAATCACAAATTTTAAAAATTGTAAGTAAGATACAAAGAAGATTGTCAGAAATTGTCTATCATACATTACATTTTCGATTTATGAACATTCATTAATCTAATTTAAATAACCACGTAATATATAATTTTTTTTTTTATACTAGAGCTCGAATCAATGAAAACTAACGTAAGCTAATGCTAGTGTTACTGAATATATAGTGTTAATTTTGAATATTTTATTATATCAGTTTGTTTATTTTTAGTCTTTACTTAAATGTTATAATATTGGTATTCATTAAATTTTTACTTACGTCTCTATATTCTGCATGTTTAGTCTTGCTTTATTTGCATATTATTGATTATTTTTTTATAATACTCTTATAATGCTATCATATCTGTATTATTTAACATATTATGTAACATTATTATTCGTTTGTAGCGCAAACTAATTAATAAATATATCTTAATTATAATGAACTATCATACACTATTTTATTATACGTTATTATTATAAATATCCTTAGAAGAACTTTCTAACACTTGTTAACATGAAACGTATCCAGTTTGATATTTTGAATTTATATGATCATTTAAAAATACTCTTATCTTATATCTTATATATTATATCTTTCGTATTTCCAGTTTATTTGCATTATGTAACATATCGTCATATGAAATATAATGCATTATTAATATTTTTATTATAATTTAAATAAAAATCTTAATATTACGATATGTAACACATTTGTGCGTCTAGTATCTTAGTATTTCATACAATTATATTATTAAAACTAAATCTATAATTTTTAGAATTTAAATCTTTTAGGTAATAAAAATTAAATAATTTCTCAGTACAAATTTATATATACGATTATTATGGAATAAAGGGAGAAAAAGTTAATTGGGAAAAATTCAGTTACAATGTTACATCTTTCAATTACAATAATACATCTTTTATTGTAGCAATAATTGTTTTGCGGATGTTCCAAAATGCTATTTCCGATAATTTTTTTCGAAATAATATCCGTAGATATGTCAGCAGACAGTGAGTAGAGATAATAATATAACAATTAAATACATCGTGTACTATGCGTGTCTGTGTGTACGTGTGTTTTTGAGGGTTTGATATGTGTGACAAGTATGTATAACAACTGTACAGACCTAAAGTTTTCAAAAAATTTCATTATATTTGCAATATTTTAAAATACCTCCATTTCACCTTTATACATTTTTTTTCAATCTCATTTATTTATATCTTTTTTATTTTTTAGTTGCTCATATATTAACTTAATTCCGTTAAAAAAGCGACTGTCTCTTTAAATCCTTAAATCTATTTAGGCATCTTTGATCTGTAATATGTGTATAACATAAAATTGTGTTGTATAGTTTTATGTATATGTACACGGTAAACTATAATTCACATTTTTGTATTCGATCCATTTCAAGTCAATTTCAATCGAACTTCAAATCATTTTCACTGATTAGGCTATATATCAACTGTAATGATGTCGCCTCGCCTTTTGCTTACACTTTGATCTTGTCTTCACATTCCTTTCTGTATTACTTATTGTTTGTAAACGCATGCAATAAAGTTGTTATTATTATTATTATTATTATTATTATTATTATTA